ATTTAAGCAGTGTTTTTAAGTCAGTCTTTGAGGTTTGTTCTGATGACAGCAGGGCTCTTGGAAATGCCTCCTTTCCTGGTTCTCTAAACTACTGGGCTCCCATTTAGTTTGTTGCTCTAATGCAGTGTACTAGTGTTTTATTCAGCTTTTTTGCTGCTGTGACCAAAAGACCTGATAAGAACAATTCTAAGGAAGAAAGTTTATTTAAGGGCTCATGGTTTCAGAGGTCTCAGTCCATAGATGGCCAGCTTCATTCTTCAGGGTTTAAGGTGAGGTACAACATCATGGTGGAATAAGTCAGGACATGGCCACCAATAAGCAGAGAGAGACTAAAATCAAATATATACCCCAAACACATATCCCTAATGATCTACTTCCTCCAGCCACACCTTACCTGCACACAGTTACCACCTATCAGGATTAACCCTCTGATTAGATTAGGGCTCTCATAACCCAATAATTTCATCTCTAAACTTATTATCTTACATAGGAGCTTTGGGGGAATACCTAATATTTAAACCATAACAACTAGCCTCCTTTTAATAATTCATCAGCAAAATTTCCATTTCTTTGTATAATTCTTTAGGCTTGAATTTCTTTTTACCTTTTCAAGTAAAGTCAGTCCTGGCAGAGAGCATTGTAAAGCTTTTGGTTCCTATGGACTGACTCTCCCCTTAAGCAAAACCTTTGAGCCACTCTCCTGGGCACAGGATAGGGAAAATAGCCTCTGGTCTTCTTAGCTCACCTTTCTGGGCATAGAACCTCCACTCTAGAGGAATATGGTATCCCATTATTCTTGCCATACCAAAACGGAGGTAGACTCTGGGATCTTTGAGTGGGGCTCAATAACAAAAGAAGCTTCCAGCCTCTCCACCTTACTCATCAGGAATTTAATCTCTACAGTTTAGAGTTAGAGGATATTAGAAATGCTGGCCTGCCCCTTTTGATAATTACCTATTCATATCCTTTGGTTGGGAGCCCAGGAGAGAGTCCATCCTCTTGAGTGCCCTCATCCAGAATTAGTGCATGGGGACATGCCTCAGGTTGTGAGGGCAGGTGGAAGCATGTCATGGCTAAAGTGTCAAGGAATCTTTCTGATATTACTAAGTCTTAGTAGACCTTTTGAATAAATATTCTTCATCCACTGTATGGTCTTAGGACACTGCAGAGGCATTGGTTGTTTTGTTATTTGGGGTTTTGAAATTTTGGTGTAGTCTTTTGTTTTGTTTCCAATTTTTAGCAATTACACCTTTTTATCTGGGATTGGCTGTGTGAAGGTCCTCGCACTGCCTTTCTGGGAGTGGAACTTCTGAATTGTTTTTTCAGAAGACTGTGCCAAAGAAAATTCCTTGTTTTTTCACATACACTGAGCTTTGGTTTCCTTATTATAATGAAAGTAATAATCCACACCACAATGTTCAAACCCATGAGAACCCTAAATAAATGGTTTTTTTTTCTTTTTCTTTTTCTTTTTTTCCTCCTGTCACTCCTCTTATCTGACTTTCAGAACTCAAAGAAGTTCTAGTTGTATAAGGGTGCCTGGTCAATAATGTGTTGTGATGCTTCCAAGAATTTCAAGACTCTGAGAAAGTATTTTAAGCAAAGTGAGGAATATATTTAAGCACTATTAAAAAAGTGATTTCAGGCCTGAACCAGGTTCTGTTACAACTCATGAAAAAAAAATTCTTAAAAAAAAAAACACAAGCCAACAACATGGCTCATGATCTTTTTTCTCTTCCCTACTCTTCTTGACTACTTCCCCCAAATAATAATCTCTCTGAGCTGTATTTTATATAGCAATCTGAATCTTGAAATAACTCTCCCTTTCCAATTATTAAGAAATCAAAATCTCAAGAAAGCTATTTCCATTATCATTTTATTCATTTATTTTAACAAAGATGATTTGCTATCTAGGAGTTTTATGGTGCTGTATTCTGCACTTGGCCCCTGTTTTGTATCTTAAGAAATGAGTTAGAATTTGAGGAACTATCTTGCCAATCCAAAATGCTATTTTCATGTTTGCTCAATTTTTATATAGCTTATTCACCTACTCATAACTTAAAATGTTCAGGGAAAACACTGTGGATGGCATCCTAGGAGAAGCTATAACTGAGACTTATCTTTAACTTTGTGTTGTAACAACTGTGGAGCTGATCAGGGACAAATAGAGTCTTGTTTTCAGCTACTTGTGCAGGTAATGTTGAGAAACTAGAATCTACCAAAATTCATTCATGTTCTCCTACAAATTCTTTGATCATCTGAAAAGATCCAAAGCAATCAAGGATAAACTGTAATCAGGTACACTGCGATCCACCCAGAGTTGCTTACTCAAAAAGGGGACAAGGATAATGAACAAAAACCCAGACCTAAAAATTATATTCAAAAACTAAAATATCTTCTTTTCAAAGATATTCAGAGTTTGGGGATATAGGTTAAAAATACAAATTTTAAATCTGAATATAAGAGAACCTTATGTAAGTTTCAATTGTTAAATTTTTGTTTAGCATTACATTATTTTGTTTAGCAGGTGCAAATTGAATTCTTACTATGTGCAGTGTCAATAAGGTATATTCCTTGCTTTTAAGAAATGAATATTATACACAAATAACTATTGTGTAAGTTAGAAAAATTGTTTCTGCAATGCATCTTCTAAAAAAATGCCCTTTAAGACAGAAAAGAAAGAGATTTATTCCTGTTAGGGAGGATTAGAAGAAGATTCATAAAGGAAATGGCAGCAAATGGATATAAGTGCAGGGACATAATGAAACCAGCCAGAGCTTATTACAGGCTGCCTTCTGAGATCAGCTAGTAATATCCCTTGCTGGAGAATTGGGGAAGGGGTATAAAGGAAAGAGGGAAAAAGGTTCGATGACTTACAGTCATCATGAAGACCCCAAAATGTCATCACAGGACTTGGGAGTTTATTTTGACGTCAATAGAAAACACATAAGGGTTTTGAAACAGGGAATAGTCATCAGAGCCGTGTCTTTGAGATTATTCTGACAGCATGTATAAATTAGATTTTAAAATACCAGAGGTGGGAAGACCAATATAGAAGTCATTGTTGTGTTAGGCTAGGTGGGCTGGAACTAAGAGTTCAAAAGCCAAAGGAGATGTCAGTTCCATAAACACAAAACAGGAAATGGAAGTAAGAGAATGGATGACACCGTGATGAAGGATGACTGCCACTTGGGGGCTGGTGTCAGTAGTGGGAGAGGGGTACGAGGTATTTTGAGGTTTAATGTCTGTGTGTTGGAGAGATTGACAGTGTCCTTAAAAAGAGAAAGGAAATAGGGAAAAACATGACTTAGGGAAAAAAGAAAAAGGATGTTTTATTTATTCAATAAATACTTATTGGGCACAATAAATAGTAATGTGTCCAGTGCTGTTCTGGAGGGGGAGAGAGTAATCTTGAATTTTTTTAAAGTGTTTCTGAGGAAGAGGCACTGTTCCCAAAATGTGTGACTCCGAAGCAGAGCTGGAGCCAGAGAGTAGGAGTGAGGTAGGAAGTAAAATATCTTTCTAATAAATGGAGGCTTGTTGGTGAGTAGTAAGAGCTCTGTTACAGGCAGTATTCAAGTAGAAGCTGGGTATTATTCTTTCAGGAACACAGTAACAAGGAATTCTCACCTTAGGAAGGAGGTCAGACTAACCTTTCTTCAAGTTCTCTTTCAGTCTTAAGACTCTATTCTTCCTGATGATGTAGTCCTGTGAGTTCTATTATTAATCTCTGGTTTCTCCCAATTATTAAATAAATTACTCAGTCTGTCTGCCATTCAGTAAAACTCACACATTTACATCTGTTATTCTTGAATTATTTTTGGTTAGGGCTCCTCTTCTGTATTAAAAAATTCTACCCAGTTAACATTACCTTTGTAACTATTTAAGAATTATAACCCTGGCAGATAGGGTTATAAATACCAGAGGGGAAAAGGATTTCTTGTGCCTAATAATATTTTTGTTTAGAAGAAGCCCTGGGAAACTAGGAATGGATTATCTTGACTTCAAGATTACGATGCAGTTTCTATATGTTGCAGTAGTTCAAAAAGGAAAAAAAAAAAAGCATCTCAGAGAGGTTCATTTTTAAACGGCATGTAAAGAAAAAGAATAATTATTCTCCAAACACTGTGAAGCTTTAGATCAGAAACATTTATTTGTGCTGCATTTAAAAGAATAAAAGAGGAAAGGAAGGGAGAAAAGGGAACAGGGAAAGAGGAACCTGTCGTGAGCCCTGTTATAAGCTATAGTTCAAGCTTTGCATTTCCTGGTGTCTTTTGAAACGTAAAATTCCACAACAAATAGCCCGGTAATGTAGAACCAGTATGAAGATTCAATTCAGATTGAAGCACTTTGGTTTGCTTTTGAGTCTTGCTATTTTCTGCATTTGTTTTGACTGCTCTCATCATTCAAGATTGACGCTTGGATGGGTGTGTAGGAGGAAGCAGCAGCAGCAGGCTTACAGCTTGCAGACAAAAAAAATCTGCCTTATCTGATGGCTATTATTGAAAATGCGAGGTGTAGCCTGGGCTGGGTAATGAAGGGGAGCGAGCGAGGGGGAGCAAGGAGCATGGAGCTGCATACTGATGAGTGTAGGAGTACTTGATAAAAAGAATTCTGGCTGCTGGCCGTGCATTGCTCATTGTGGAGTACTCCAACAATCACATAGAACGCAGACCAGCCTAAGCTGACAGCTTGATATGCCTTCTTCTGCTGCCTGGTTTTGGGGGCTGTATGACGTACTGGTCGGTAGTAAAGATTAATATGTAAGAAATGTGGAGCTAGGATCAAGTCACACTCCACAGCCTGCCTGGCAAACTATGTTTTACTTCTGACTTTGCTCTCTCGCTGAGAACATTAATCTGTCAAGCTGGCGGGCTCCTTTGATAGCAACTTTCCCAGGAGCATGATGTGGCAATGCCACCTCTCAGCCCAGGACTACCGCTATTACCCCGTGGACGGCTACTCCCTGCTTAAACGCTTCCCTCTTCATCCTCTTACAGGACCCAGATGCCCTGTCCAAACAGTGGGACAATGGTTGGAAAGCATTGGGCTACCTCAGTACGAGAACCACCTGATGGCTAATGGATTTGACAATGTGCAGTTTATGGTAAGATGCTCTCTGTGTCCAGGGAGCTGCCTTTTGTCTGTCTTTGCTTCTTATGTGTCTTACATAGCTCAGAGGCAGCCTGATTTGCTCCAAACCGATCAGTTTTGTATATGTAACTGCATCAGAAAATTGAATGCCCTTAGGACTAAACTTACTGTGTACATATTAGACACTTGCTGAAAATGAGATCTATATGCATCCATATACATATGTGTTATATGAATGAGCCGGCAGAGTATTTATAGGCAATGGAGAAGATTAACATTTATATTCTCCTTGTCATTCTTTGTGTGATTTTTTTTATATAAATTGTGATCTTAGTATACCCAGTTAGATTGTATCACTCTTCAACTAATTCTACATTCCTAAACCTTATTATTTTATTTGAGCATCAGCATTTAGTGATTAATTAGACAATTTGTTATGCTGATGGTGTAAAAATCATTCTTTCCTGATAATTATTCAATAAGCAGTTTAAATCATTCGGACACCCTTTGGTTCATTAGCAAACTGCTTCAGATGGTCAATTATGGGGAGTATTAACTTACTTACACATGCTGATTGAAGAGCAATGAAGTATTGTTTGTTACTTTAGGTGGAAAATAAACACTTGGGTCAATTCGTTGTCAGCATGTAGAAAGAGGGATAGATGCACTGAATACATTCATGTACTTCTGAATCCTGGTCTACATGCAGTTTAAACCTGGTGTGTGCAAACTTCCCACTGTGATGCATATAGGTGAGGAAGGATGGGGAGGTGTGCTGATGACAATCTGGCTTTCTAATCATTCCCATACCTCCCCCAGTGCTCATCAGTTCCTCTTGTAAAGCTACGTCACAGCCCTTATTGCCTTTCCTTGCTTTTAAGCTCCCACCACACATAACACTGATCCCTAAATTTAGAGAGACCTATATAACATGGGCATGTAGCAAGCAAATTACTTGTAGAAATAATTAATAGTTGTTCTTAAATAAAATGCTGGGGCTGACACCTGCAGCTTGCTAATACCAGAACTGATTGTAAAAATACTTAGAGCTAGTCAGATCTTTTTATTTTCATGTGATATTATTTTTTTCTCCAAGCTGGGCTTGACTATGTAGATTGGAAGATTATTAAAATTCTTGAACTTCTGCTCCTTTCCCAAAAATGTGTTTGCTTGTAAACTTTGGGGGGGTGGGAAGCCATAAATTTAGTAAGTCATGATTTTAAGAAATTATGTACATATAACATTTAATGAGTGTTTTGTTGTTTTTAAAAAATAATTAGAGATGCAGCTACTGTTATTTTTCTCAAATTTATCAAGTACTTTTACTAGCTAGATAAGATGTTTTATTTTAATAGGAAAAGAGGGAAAGTTCTTCAAATGCTGTGAAAGTCTTAGGACACTGAGATTTAAACAAACTTAGGACCCTAAGTTTAATTCCATTAAATGGAATTAAGAAGTAGGGTAACTATCAAACAGAGTAAGTCATTTCATCATTATTTATGTTTAGTATACATTTCAACATCTTTATTCTTTCTCCCTGTCTCTATTTGAAATGGAGCTTTCTCATTCCCATCCCTCAGACCCTTGTCCAAATTTATTGTGGTCCATGAGAACTCAGGTCTCATGAGACCTCAGGTTTTTTAATACTCTCGGTCATTTGGCCATACTGAGATACTTGATTCCAGCTTGATTTTTCCTCTGAATGTTAAATACTATGAACAAATATAATCCCTTTTTAAAAGCCTCTGACTGAAAGGTTAATCACATGGATTTTAAATAAGAATTTTGGGAGAGATCATAAAATACATTCATAAATAAATTATATACAAGCACTACAAATGTATCTGGAAGGTAAAGATCCTGGACATGTGCAGCAAAATCAAGGTCTAATCATAGATTATTTTCTTTACTTGTTTAATTCCAAGTATTAAATATAATTTTTCAGAAAATAAGAACACATTATTAATTCATGTGAGCCAAATACTTTCTTTATGATACAGAATTTAAAAAAACTTTTGAGTTATCATGTAGAGGAGTTAATTCATTTTGAAAATGAAGCATTCATAAAATGGTGTCATCAGTTACTGCTTTACATGCTGTTGTACACCATCTATTTGCTACTAGAACAAGAAATGAATTTTTACCTTTATAAAAATCATTTATTGATCTCCATAACCTAATTTATTTAGTTATGAACTTAAAGTACACTAATATGATTGGCCCACTTTAAGAAGCAGAATTCAATTATGTGGTGAAAAATCTTTTTTAGACTTGCTAGTTTTCACTTGGTATCATATTCTAGCTTTTGTTTTTCTTGAAGCACATTCTGACCTGCATTTATTCATCTTGTTGCCTAAGCAACAAGCACCACGCTTCTGTTAACTATGATGTAGTGCCGGTCTTATTAGTTTTTTAGAACAAGACAGTAGACATCAAGAGGGTATAATTAATGTTGGTGGAAACATCATAGTACATCCATGCATAGACATGCTTTATTTAGGAAACATTCCCAGGAGTTAACTTTTCATTTAATCAATATTCCATTAATGTGAGTTTAAAGGATCCATATGAGTAACTTTAAAGTATTTATTGAAAGCTTTAAACATTTTTTTTGCTAAATCTATTCTATATACTCTCATATATAAACACAATATATGGAAAATTTGTCTGCATGGCTATAATTAACTTTAATAGAGATTACTTATATCAATTCCTAGACATGGTTAGAGGAACTCCCATCCACTGCACTTGCTTTTAAATACCTGTCAATTGTTGCTTCTCCTTCAGGCTCTTGATACTTATCCTTGATTTTAAAGATATGTGAAATGTTTTTCTATATCTTCAAGTTAAAATACCAAACTTTTTCTTTATGCATTTCATTCTGTTTTGTAGAATAGTTGTGCACACAAATTGGACCCTTTGTATCCTTCAAAATAGCAAATAAATAAAATTGGTACAATCAAAGAATAGCTACAAAATTACCTCAGGTTGCCTAAGACTTTGGTAAGGTCACACATGTGTTAAAATAAAAAGTCCTATCACAACAGAATCCTGAAGTCTTCCCTAGGTCCCACTCTGCTTGTTCCTCCCTCTGAAGTCATACTTCATCTCCTCCCTCCTGCTTACGCACTTCTGCTGCTCACCAGCCCTAGAAGTGCCGCTGGGGTCTTCTGACACCTCATTCCTTCACCCCAAATTTGCAACATACACAGAGTGTCTGTTTCAACGTTATTTTTTTTCCACCAAGAAGTTTAGGTATAAAGTAAGTATTACACAGAATGCACATGCTTCTATTTCCTTATTAGGTTTATTTCTACTACCACCTTTCTTTTCCTAAGTCTAATGACTTCTTCCCTAGTTTTAAGTCTCAAACCATCTCTTCTTGTCCCTATGACTTTACCCTTGGATTCTCTCCCCACACTTCACAGACTGCTGTTTTCTTTCCTTTCCCTGTCTTTTATTCCAAAGGTCTAACCCATTTCCTGCCTTGTTTACAGAGCTTTTCTTTAACAACTCCAGTCCATAGCAGCCTTTTTTCCCCCTCTGAATTCATATCATGGTTACATATGGTATGAAAAATTACATTTGGCATGCCATTATTCTCTCTCTAGAATTAAGTTTTAGTGGTTTATATCTTGTCTCCCCAACTAAACTAGAAGCTCCTCAAGTCCAAGTTTTACGTGTTCACTTCCCTTGCTTTACACACAACTCCTAGAATAATGCTGTGTATATATAAATCAGCCCCCAAAAACCAAATGCACAAAAGATTGTTATGGATAAACCTCCAGTCTCATTTTTAAACTAGTAACCTTGTTTTACCAATGGGAACATGTACCCTTCTCTAATTCATGCAACAAATTGTCTTTAAACATTTTCTGTGCCAGATACTGTGTTAAGTACTAGGAATGTAACAGTGAACAAGACATGACCTTTTGTTCTCAAGCAAGATAGTATTGCCCTCAGACCTATCATAATGTTTGCATTCACATCACACACATTCCTTCATTCATAAACACACACACTTGTGCATGTGCATGCACACAGATACACACTATATCTCAGGGATATTGGTCCTTTGTCTTTCCATCATGTGTACTTAATAGTAATTGTTTTTCCAGCAACAAATTATAGTAGTTAACAGAACAAGATATCTGTCATAGCATAAAGTAAAGAAAAAAATATAGGCACCAAAATTTAGCAGTGTTATAGTAGATTTATAGTCTGAAGACAGTAAAGAAAATTATATTACTTAGAGGAGGACTGACTCATGACCTTACCATAACTAGCTGACAGTTATATTTGTAAACTCTGACCAAAACAGAGGAAGCATCTTCTGTTCATTTTGGCTAATTTAACCATTATTAAAATGTTCAAAATGCAGCCTTTATGGAGTTAGATATGAAAATAATACTGACATCCTTACATGAACTGGCATTTTGTACACTTGGGTGGAGAGCTTTCACAAAGGACTTGCTGGAGGTCAAAGTGAGTAGTGCCTATTAGACAGTGAAGTGAAGCCACAGAACTCATAGTAGTCATCCATCTGAACAAAAGATTTCAGCAAGATTGAGCTTACAAGTATAAATTTAATTGACACCCCCCCCCCATTTCTGTGGTTCATTTTACATGCTCATGGACTTACATCTCTTTTCCACTTTTATATAACTTTGGCCTGATAAAATGACTTCTGAAGTATCTTAGAACCATGTTGGGATCTAAGTAACAAGTTAAACTTGTGAATTAGAAATACATATTGTCCCTAAAAGATAAAACTAATAACCGCCTGATGATTTCTTATTGAAATATTGTTTAGGAAATTCTCATGGAGTTACTGAGATTGGAAGGTATAAGAGAAAAATACCTATCTCATTCTTGTCCCTTCCTATATCTGAAACAGCCTAGACTTTGAGTTGAGTGGGTGGCCTTACATTGCAAGTGCAGGTATAATTTTAAAAACTCATTAGACCAGTAGTTACAAACCCAGTTTTGGTAGGGGGTGGGGGTGCAGGTGGG